GTGCCTCTATCTCATGTGATCCTTCAACTTGATAATTTTGATATTCATCATTATCATCATCACTACTATCGCTCTTTTCACAAAAGTCCCTAGGGTCATCAAAATGATGATCACGTTCAGAATACCTCCGTATTTAGTTATGAAGAGCCATTGTAGCAATGACAATCTTCACTTGCTTATTGAACGGGTAATTAGGCATATCCCTTAAAATTGCCCATCTTTTCTTCCATACCCCAAAAGTTCGTTCAATGATGCTCCTAAGAGAAAAATGTTTGTGGTTGAATACCTCTTTATGACCTGTTGGTATATGTCTGTGGTTGAATACCTCTAAGAGAAAAATACCAACATTAAAAGATAGCATACTAAAATAAATTAGCAATTCTTAAATCCTCAAAAAGGAAACAGCCCTAATTTCTCCACGACATGGTGCTGTTTTTGGTCTAGTAATGCTGCATACATGGAAAATTTCAGCTCAAAAGTAAACATCCAAGAAAATCAAATCCCCATTTATTAAAGTTATGTAAAGGAAACAACGACTAATGAAGATTTGGGAAATTCCAATTTTCTTGAATGAAGCATCTCATGTGAATGACAAACTCAGATCTTGGTAAGAAACAATAATCTTACTAAAGGCAAAGAAAAAAGAAGGATAACATGAGCCAGTATTATAGGTGGTCTGTGGAAATGATGAATTGCATTGCGATAAATCTCGAGATTGCTCATTGTCCACCATCCCTACCTCAAACTCAAATAGAGAGAGGCACCACATGGGATATAATTTTGATATCAGCATTCAACTGAACTTCTAGAATCCCAAAAAAAATATCCTGAATTTGCTAAAAATATCCGAAACAATGTGTACAATGCAGTCCAAATTTTTCAGTCAATCGCCATTCAATCAATTCAAACCGAGGAATAGGCAACATAGTTTTGATTAAAACCAATCAATTGAAGTATGCAACATGTAAAAAACAAAGGAAGTATAGCAAGTGAGGCAATACAACAACAACAAAAAAGTATCAGTGGGGAATTGATCAAACCAGTCAATTGAAGTAGCAACATGCAAATTCAATGTCAATACAAACATATAATTTTCCAATTCTCCCAATATATCAAGACCCAAAATAGCAAAACAAACACAACCCAATTTACCAAACGACCCAAATATATAAAAGTAAATGTGAATTTTCAACTATTTTGACCAAATGAATGACTTTCCAATTTCCATCCTAATTTCATCAATTTCTCAGTAAACAAACACACAAAAAAATATAATCAGCAGCCAATTCAACAATTAACAAACGAATTACAGAGAATCAACTAAGAAATCAGCCTATAAAGTGATGGAGAAAACGAGAGAGAAATCTCACAGGTCTGAGAGAGAGTGAGAGCGCGCGCGATTGGTTGGATTGGAGACGAACCGCTCAGAGAGAGAGATCTCAAAGGAGTTGCAGTGAGTGGCAATAAACGTTTGGGTGAAAATGATTGAAATGAAACTGCGATTTTCAGAGGGAAAAGAGAGGAGCGACATGGATTGAAAACTATGTGGGCTGAAAACATGAAGCCAAATAAGAAGCAGAGCACAGCTTTATAAGAAATTATCCTTACCTAAAGCCAAATCAGAAGCAGACCTTCTAAAAAAATGAGTAGAGAAGTAATCAAACTTCTCTCTCAATTTTTCTTGTTTCCTCCACAAACCCTAATTTTTTCCCCAATTAATTTTTTCCACCAACCGTATCACCTTCCCCAATTAATTGTTTCCCCACCCTCCATCCCTAGTTGTTTTTGCAGACACCCATACCCTCATCCCTTTGCTATTCCCATCCCTCCATCCCCAGTTGTTTTTCCCGACACGCATCCCCAAATTGAAAAATCCAAACAAATAAATAACAAATTTTTACAAGAGAAGCTTACTAAGGGAACCTGGAGAACGAGAGAACGAGAGAGATCGTTGGTTTTTGGAACGAAATAATGAGAGAACGAGAGAGTGGTCTAGGGTTCGGGTATGCGAGAGCTGAAGGCGAGAGGGAAGGGAGAGCAATTTGGGGTTATTGAAAAATTCATTAAACGCACCACTGTTCACCCGTGTTTTCTAAAATAGGTTGTTTTTGGAAGCTGCTATTTGCAGCTTCAGGGCTGCTTCAAATTTTGGGCTTCTTTTCACCCCCAAACTTTGAAAGAAAGCTATTTTTGAAAGTTTACCAAACACCAAAACCCTCCCAGCTTTTTTTTTTAATCACCTCAATCCCAAACTACACCTTCGTCTATCAGAAAGACTTTATTTTGTTAGAGACCTCCCTCTATCTCAGAAAAATCAATCAAACAACTAAATGCAAATGAACGAAACATGAATAGAACCGTATCTCTGGTACCAACGCAACTACTTTTCTTCAATAAAAGAGAACAATATTTGATTACAATTACACGGATCTGATTAAGGCTTGGTTTGGTACTGAGGTGATTCTGAAAAAAGTTGGTATCAAAAAAAGTTGGGAGCTGTTTTTGTGTTTGGTAAACATTCAACTTCAGCTTTTTTTTCACAGTTTTGGGTGAAAAAAAGCCAAAAACAAGAAGCTGCAAAACCCAGCTTTGAAAACCGGCTTTTTTTCACATCTGTTTTACATAAAAGTTTACCAAACACTACAATACTGCTTTTTTTTTTCAAAAGCACTTTTACAAAAAAGTTTACCAAACACTCTGCTGCTTATTCTCACAGCATAGTAGAAGCAGTTTTTTTTCAAAACACAGCAATACCAAACCAACCCTAAATTTCTCTCTTAAGTCATACAACCAGCTCTGGTTTTAAGCATTAGAAGTTTGGGACTACAAAAAGAGAATAAACAACTTAAATTGTTCACTGAATGATAATTCTTTGTCCAACTCTCAAAACCCCAGCAATATTGATTCTTGAAGGCTAATATAGTAATATGCCTCAATATTTAGTGAAAATACATTTCCACTTTTTCATTATTCCTAAAGGCAAAGAGTAATGCGAAGATAGCCCAAATTCCACATCATAGAAAGGCACGACCAGAGTAAAGAGAGTAGTCTAGGGTTTAGCTTATATACTAGCTCAGATAACCAAAATAATATATCCGATTGTCATTTTAGAATCTCTAGTACTTTTCAATTTACCCTTCAAATGCATAGTAAGTGGTTAAGATAGTACCCCGGATGCATGGGCAACTTGTTGGTGTCAAAACCATGACGGAGTCCGGATTGGATTTAACACGTATTTTTCTCAAATGTTGATTTCAATATCAGTATCATGGAATGGCTCGAGAAAAAGAGAGAATATGTGTGCTATTATTCGAGGCTGCCAACTGACAGTGTTTGTGTTTGAATGTATGAGAAAGTTGCGCATCGACTTCTTAATTAAATGATTATGCACCGAGTGGGATGCTAATTTAGATAAGTTCTTTTTTATGCCTCGAGCAAACAAGGACTTAAAATTCAATTTAACTTTTCTGTTTTTACATCAAATGCAAACAAAAAGTATTGGAAACTAATAAGGAAAAAAAAAACAGAATGTAATCATTTCATGGAGTCAAGATTACAAACATTTATAAAAGTCGAATCTAGGCCGATGAGCCTAGCTACATGACTAGAAATGTAAATTTGACTAAAAATGTAAAGAAGTCAGTAAAACTATTGCAAGATTCAGGATATGAAGGGTGAGATAATGCTAGAGGAGTCCACTGAGATTAGTGGTATCAAATTGGACTTATTATAGAACATATGCCTCAGTAAGGAAATCAAGGTGATCAGAATGACATATCAATCAAATCATAGCACGGTGTCACAAAGATATTAGAGTTTTAGATCTTAGGGAACGTAGGTAGTGTTTGCTTTGAATTAAGGCTTTGAGGTTGTAGCTGGAGAGCTAATGGTTTGTTGAAGAGCCATTGGGTTTGTATTGAAAAACAGTTGAGTTGATTGAAGAACCACTTAAGGTTTTGTTTAATCGTAGAGATTGAGTTTGACAAAGGTCGTGAGCTTAAGACCTCTAGTTCTACTTATAGGTAGCGAAGAAGTTGGTCATTTGGCATGACAGTGACTATAATTCTTGGTTTGTGGCCCTCAGTTGTGTTTTATGGTGGTTTGCACGATCGCAGTGATGATATTAGCGTGTCATATGACGTGTAGGTCGACATTTAAGGAAGCGAGATATTTCCTGGGTAGGTTGTCTACAAGGCAAATGCACTTGAAGGGGGAATCTGTATGTGCCCTCGGACGAGTTAGAGTGGAGTGAGTTGGTCGTCCTAGACCCAAGATATGATCCTCAATTGGGTTTCGAAGGTGGATAGGAGTTGTGCAATTTTGTGTAGATAATAGTAGTTTGGCCCCACAGTAGGCCTTATTTTTATTTGTAGCCTAAACACAGCTGCCATGAACACTCTTAAATTCAAATTTTTAGCAATCTTTTTATTTTGATTTAATGGTTCAATTGTTTTTTCTTTTTTAAATCAAATGTAAAAAAGATCCAACGTCTGAAATTTAGATCCAAAGGTCAAAATAATATAATAATTAGAATAGATCTAGTGTAAAAAATTATCCCACACTTTATATGTACCCATTCATTTGTTCGGTTCATTGAGTGATTGGTTGGTTTCTATATTGAAATTTGATTGGTTTGGTAGGTTGAGTTGTTGATTGATGTTATTTGTTCGATATTGAAAATTGTTGGAATTTTTTTTTTTTAAGTTAAAACATTCAAAAATTGAATTACGATCACACAAAGAAACTAAATCCTTGCCCAAAAAAATTAGCATTAAACAGTTTCACAACAATTAATTTAATTTAGGTATTTGAGGGTTGGTGAAATTTACTGTTCACATATATGAATTATGTTCTTTGGTGGACCTGAATATTTGAATTTAGGTCCATAGGCTTGCGTTGGTCTAACAACACAATTATGTAATTGCATTGGTGATACCCACCAAACATGTTAGGTGATGAAAATGGCTTTCCCTGGTAAATAAATTAAACAGCATCATCAATCAAGACTAAAGCCACATAAACATACTATTTATTAATGTCAACAGGGGGAGAAGGCCTCAAGCCCACTACTGCTTCTGCTTGACCCGACTCACAATCGCTGTCAGCATTCTCACATTCCTAACTTATGATGATCATGCTCCCAATAAACAAATTAAAAAAGGGAATTCCTAATTCGACAGAATTAAAATACAGATTTGGATATGATTTCAGCATGCAAGTGCTTTCAAGAAGCTGCAGCATTATTTGCTTCCTTATAGTACGTGTAGTCTTCTTCACCTCTTGTAGTCCCTTTCCTCCAGTGTTTATAGTATATGTACTGCAAAATTATCTGTTGTTATGCTTGTCAAGGGATATCATTAAATCATATGTATCATACTTACAGTTACCAATCACATTGTTGGCCACATTTCTCACATTTCACTTATGTAAAAGATGAGAGAACAAAGTAATCGGTAAGTATAGTAAGTACAGTAATTACTAAATGTAACATAAAGTTGGGACTATTATAACACATGCTTTTACCTGTCATATTCACCGATCACATCTGATCACATTCCTCACATTTCACTTACGTTAAAGATGTGCCAACAAAATTATCAGTAAATATCATACATGTTGTAATTACTAAATGTATCATAAAGTTGAACTGTTTTAATATGCATGAGGACTAGCAAAGGATACAAATAAGTCAAGTGCCACACAAACTGCAGCATCGAGTAACCATGGCATGTTAGCTTTAATGCTGTCCCACTTGGTAGTTCTTACAAGTATGCTGCAAATTGGAATATTCAAACAAATTAATTGAGAAGCATGAAGAAATGGAGATAAGAAGATGATAAGAGTAGAGAGAGTACTGCATACCTTCCCACATAAGTGACATTTGCGATCAGTGCAAAGACGAACATTAGAGGATTCAATCCCTGTACGTACAGAACCATAGTTAACAGCTGGATTATATACTGATCATATGTAATTAAATACAATTACAAAAGGAATCAAAAAGTAAAGAATTACCTCCACACTTCCTCTTTTAATCTGGCCAATGTAAATCACACAGCGACTAAGTTAGGAACGTCCAAAACAAAATCGATAAATAGGGTAAAATAAACGTTTTGATAGCGGCAGAGATACGAATGAATAAAAAACAGTAAGAAGTGCATCTCCTTTATATATCAGCTGTGCCTATTTAATTCAATGGCTAAGGATAACTCCTTAATTAGTAAAATATATACGCACATTTAACCAAATCTGAGGGAGTCGACCGCCCATGTATATAGCAGCCATTAGCCAGCCCAGCCATTGACCAAAGGTACTATGCTCAACTGAGTGTTCCTGTACAAACACTATATAGACTATTTTGGATGAAAAAAATGTTCTCGTCGGATTTTTAAACAACATAACAGTGTAAATCTAGACTAATTAAGGATCATGTGAATTTTCACATGAGCGGTATTAATAGATAAATATAGTTCGTGTGACCACCAATCATACCTGCAAGAGTGTCCTCCCAGTTACTCCCAGGTACACTTGTGCCAAACCCTTTGTTTGTGAAGGCAAGTTAAGTGATGTTGCTAGAAATGTTCCGTACCCTGCCTGGAATTATAGTACACAAAGTGGTGAGCAAATCAAAACAATATAGTATAGGAAACACGTGTTAATTAATTATGTTTTGCAATTTTTTAAAGAGTAGATATATATATATATATGTATATATATATATGGCAACTCGTCATTACTAACCGATGTGACATAAAACGTAACAATTGTTATTAAAGGTGAACAGTTTTAGGCAATGTATAAAATGACCATAAGTCGGAAACTAGATTTGTGAGGCTCACCAATCTTGGGATTGGCCTAGGCTGGGTAAGAGAGTTCTTGTTGGATGTAACCGGAGCTGACTCATCCTCAGAAGATGAGTCACTGTCTATTGTCATTGCAGAAGGGCCACTTTTAGCTGCCCTCATATACGATCGAAACGGTGGAGTACCACTGCCAGCCAAAGATCTCGCTGACCTGTAAAAATTAATTAACAAGAATCTCAGTTTTATCAATCAAGTTAAGATACATCATAATTATGGAACATATATCTGTGGAAGTTGTAGGAGGTTACGTACGTATAGTAGAACTCCCTTCTAGGAGTGGCTTTGGGTGAAGCACTTGGTATTGGAATGCCTGAATCAGCCAACTTTGGATTCAATGGTTTTTTATTCTCTTCTTCATCCTAATTACATGATAATTGATCATTAGACCCTCGTATTACCCAGCCGGCCGGCTTCAGTTAATAACAATAATTCAGAAAATAATTGATGGATTAAGAGGCCAAAAATTAAAATTGAAATGGATGTTGTACCTTCTGTCTTGCTGTGATATTTCGGCATTTCCACCATGTATAGATGTAGTCATAGTACACACTTTGCAATACTAATACTATAGTACTTGCTGTGTAGAGCTATTAATTAAAGAAAAATAAAAGAGCATGTCATAAACTAAAGTTTTTTAAAAAGCGATATTACTAATATAAGGAGAAAGTTTAAACTTGAAATGTGGTGGATTGAAAAAAATAAATAAATAAATAAACAAACAAACAAACAAACCTAGCCACCATAGTAATCCTTCACTCCATAAACTAAAATTCTCATTCAAAAAATTAAATTAATGACCTACCTAGTGCCCACTCCCCTAAATTGATGGGAATTATTTGGACCTAAATTGATGGAAGTAATTTGGACCTAAATTGATGGTATTAATTTGGACAAATATTATAAAAAAAATAAAAAAATAAAAACTAGGTCGTACTATAGATTCGGACATGGGCCCAAAGTGTGGTGAAATTTAACTTTATCATTTACTGCTACAAGTGCAATTGCAAAGAAAAACAAATATATATAGAAACGCAACCCAAAGTTTTTGGAGATGCAATTACCAGAGCTGTGTACAACTGGGTCGGCAACTGCATCAAAAAAATGGCTACAATTAAAATATTTTACACCCGAAATTTAACAAAGTTAACGGAAAAAAAAAATTTGACAGTATATGGTGGAGACCCTGTCATGCATCAAGATAAAGATAATGGTTTTAACCACAGCCAATCACCCGCGGATGGTTTTCTGGACCACCAGACTAACAAACAACATAACTATGGCAGATAGAAAGACAATATATAGCAATTTGCTGGGTTAACTCACCGTTGCTGGTTCCAGAAAACAACCCAATAAATTAAACACATCCCTGCATGAAACCCAAAAAAAAAAAAAATTTAATTAATTAATTAATTTTTAATAACATATTACATAACTTTAAACCACCTTTTTCTATTTAGGGAAGAGGGAGATTTGAGCACTGAGAAATGAAATATTACTGGACTAAGAGTTAGTCGTCAGTCAAAAACTAACCCGGCGACCCAAGTGCAAAGGAAGGCCAGGGAGACTCCGTGGCTGGACTTGGTGTGAAAGTTTGTGATGATTTGAGGAACTTCAGCCACCCCCCAACACACCAAGCTGATCAGACCAAAAACAAACGAGATGTCATCGTTGAGATTGCAAAGGCAGTCCTTGAAATACTTCTGAACCCAACGCACGCAGGGTTTGTTCTCCGCCACACAATAAGAGAGAGGCATTCTCTCCGGCCGTCACTGAGTGGCTGCTGAGTCTTGTTTTGTTGGTGGTTTTCCAATTTGCAAAGCTGATGAAAATGGTTTTTTCGAGAGAGAGAGAGAGAGGCAGCAATACTTATGAAGTAAAAAACACAACACAAGACAACGTACTACAGAGAAGTGAGGAATCATATAGAAGCCTGGAGTATACCCTAAAAAGTCTTGTCCGTTTATTGGGTCAAATTGTAAATACGTAAAATAGGGCAATGCTAAACATGTGGCATGCCTAGTTTTTAGCCTGATGTACTCAGAAGTATATGTGTCTGTTTGTTGGTGGAAAAGAAAATAGTATGCAGGGTGGGGGAGTGTATGGTGGTGAGCATATTCTATATAGGCTAATGCTATAGAGGTTAAATTTATCAACAAAGTTTTGAAAATTAAATGACATAAAAATTGATGATTGATTTATTACTTAAACGTTGATAAACATGCTTCTTCTTATTAGTGACACATTATTTAGTTTGCAAATTTAGTCTCTAAATTTAGTCTCCCATTATACTTCTATGTAATACCATGATGCTTTTTATTTGCCTAAGAAATATTAATTAATCTTATATATAAAGCCGGTAGGGCTTTTGAATATTGATTTTTTGGGTCACAAGCTTCACACAAAAAAGTGGACAGAAATGCCTCTCAAACAAAAAACTTCAAAAGCAGTCCAAAATAATGCATCAAATGTGGCAGGAATATTTTGGTCATTTTATAAGTGTTTTTAAATAATTAATTTTTTTGTATAGTTTTTTTCTATTTTGTTTTATAATTAGTATCTCACAATAGCTAGCAATAATGTGATTCAATCTGTTGCTCATTAAATATTATTTTCTCTATTTTTAAACACGTTTAAAACATCTTAAGAGGTATGTAATGTTGGTTATAAAAAAGGTTTTTTGCACCCGCATAATACTGTAATTAAATTAGTTGTCAAATGATTTTTTTTATTTTTTTTTTTTTTTTGGAACAAACGATATTATCTACACCAAGGGGGTGAGCTTAGCCTCACAATGAGCTAGCAATAATGTGATTCAATCAATTAATTATTAAATATTATTTTCTCTATTCTTAATGTAAATTCAATATGCGCCTATTTTATTATGTGAATTCAACTACTTTGATTGGTTTATGAGAGGTTTCTTCTAGCATGATATAAGATTATTCATTTAATTCAAATATTTGGCTTTCCTTTTGTCAATTTATGCATATAAGTACATTTAAAACGTATAAGTCGCACGTAGCGCGTCGTGATTAAAAAAAGTATCTTCTGCACGCGTGAGCGCGTGCATGAAGGCTAGTATCAATAAAAGAGAGATCTGAAAAGTTCACACTGGTAAAGCGTTCCTATATGAGTAGTTGAAATGGACAAAAATATAGGCAAAAATGTTTCTTAGAAAGGCTCGAATACTTTATATGTGCTATTGCTTCTAAAAAAATTGCTTCAAGTGTCAAATAAGTGAAAGGTTTTAGGTTTAAATGTTTCTAGTGATATTTTATTTCATTTATAAGTAAGAAATTTTAGATTCGATTCTCGTCACAGATGAATTTGAATAAAATTACTATAACTAGTCCATTGTAAGACTTAGCCTCCTAAACGCTAAAAGTGTTTATGGAAATTTTTTATACAAATGTTTGTTTTTAAAGTATTTTTTTTAAAAGCTGTTGAAGTACTTCCAGATGAAAGCAAATAGGAGATGCTACTTTCAAAAAGCCCTTAAGTGCATACTTCAGTTAGAAATTTCTAAATTTTTCTATGAAATATTATTATAAACGTTTTTGGTGATATAAAAGTATTTTCAAATAAATCCTACCATTCTCAAATAGGTACTTGATTTATGGATAAAATTAACTTAATTAGGAATTAAAAATTTTGAACGCAAGATAAATTGGGAATAAAAAAAAATTAATAGAGAAGTCATATCTTCAACGGTTTAATTTTGTTTCTCTTTAGTGAATATTGATTAATCATTTCCCCCCCTAAAGAAATTAAAGATCTTTGAATTATATATTATATTCAAACAACAATCTTAAAATTAAACTGCCTTTAAGAATATAAATTTAGGAATCCCTCATGAATGCGAATCTTTATTTCATATGCCTCCCCTCATGCTTGCATAGCTAGCTGTAACTGACATGAATTGACTCTCGAGCTAACTCAGTACTAGAAAAGTTCAATAATGCAGATGGATGCAAAGGAATAGGATGTTCTCCGGATCTTCTTGTGGAGATCTAAAGAATCAATCAAACGTATCCATTTATCATATATCATACGATTATAAATTATTTTAAATTTAAATATAAATAATATCTAACAAAAACTGACTGCACGATATACGATGAACAGATATAATTAATTGATCCTGGATTCCCATAAAGAGGATCCGAAGAGGATCCTTGTCCGGGTGCAAAGATGTCAAGAATATGTCAACATTCTTCAATCAAAGATCAGCAGGTATATATATGGGTTTCTCTTTTTCGTTTCACCGCTTACAAATTTTTATGATATTTTATTTATTAATTACTTGCATGTAGCATGTCTCTTTGATACTAACCTTGTTTGTTTATTAAGTTTAGATCATAGATAAGCGATGTTAGAAAACGATGTGTGACAGTAAGAGTCGTAGAGTGGAAAGAAAAGTAAGAATGATTTTAAGAAAGATATCGAAATAACATGGTTACATTTTAGGGAATGCAAAAAGGGTTCCAGCAGAATAAAAAAGAAAATGATTCTAAACTACTGTTAGTTTTTTAACGACAACGACATATTTTTATCATTAAAGGGAGATTCACTCTGAATAGAAACAATCAAACTTGCCTAAAACGAATAATTAAACAAAAAACAACTCAACTTCTGCAGATCGACTCATTTTAATGTTCTTTTCTTTTCCTCGTCTCCTTCACAATTTTTTTTCCATATTTTTCCCATCTTTTATTTTAAAAATAGAAAGTAAACAATATATAAAAGCACTATCAAATTGATTCTAGATCAAACTTGCTGATGCATTTGGAAATATTCGATTAAATTGCATGCTTCAAAATTCAAATTTGAGTTATTTATTTATTTATTTTTCTAATCTAAGTATGCTTTAAAAGCTAGTTAAGTCATCCACTAGGAATGTAATAATAATAATAATATTCATGATCCGCTCTCTTTTGTTTGAGCTGTTATCTTTGCACTGCACCAATTCCTATCGATCGTGGTATCAAAGAAATATATAGTAGAATATCCTACTCCACCTTCGTGCAAGTTGCAAACTACTTTTGAAGTGATAAGATTATGAATATTGCGTACAGATAAATATAGATGATGGACATGACATTGAAGAAGATTAAAATTTAATAAAAATTTGATGTTAGATTGGATATTGATTTTAGTCTTCTAATGTGTACTTAATTCAAATTTATATTATATTTTTGTTTTAATATTTAATAGATATCTTATTTAATTTCATTACATTAAAATTAAAATTATTTATTATTTTACACATATTAATTCATTATATTTATTTTACTTCCTCTAATTAGTGTACTTAAATGTCCGTATCATAATATATTTTACTAAGTTAGTGTACTAAAATGTCCGTACCTAAATATATTGTAGTCAATTAGTGGCACATACGAAAATATGCAAAAACATAAGCGTACCAAAAAATTCCGTACCTAAATATATGATACTAAACTACTGTATCGAAATGTCGGTACCTAAACATATTATACGAACCTAGTATATCGAAATGTTCGTACCTAAATATATTGTAATGAATTAGTGGCACATAAGAAAATATGCAAAAACATGTGTACCGAAAAATCTTTACGAAAATATTTTTTTATATAAGATACTTACCATAATGAGAATTAAAATTTATAATATTTTCATAAAATTTAATTTATGAACACCATAAAATTATAACTAAAAAAGAGACATTTAATATGGTGGCATTAAATAAAGTCTAGGGACTAAAATCAATTTTTAATCTTGTATAAGATATTTTTCTAAACTTCATCTTATTTAAAGATTAAAATCTAGTTTTCTAAAAAAAAAAAAAAGTAAGATAAAAATACGTATAGTTATATCACGTACAAAGGAGATAATTAGTTCAAAAATTGAAAATGCAACAACTGTTTTGGTGTATCTAACATTAGTCGGATAAATTTATTTTATAGATTATTTATAGAAAATTACCTATATTTTTATTAGTGTTTCAATTTTTACTTTGCATTCCCGTAATAATCACCAAACTGTAACTCTGCGCGCAGAAACTGTTGAAAAATTGATTTATCTTCAGCTTTTTTTCTTGCTTATATATGTAAAATAGCATATACCGACTAATTTCTTGATTCGGAAACAACACATCCATACATTAAGCGCATCCAAAATAATAACCATTGTGAATCAAACCCAAAATAAGGGCCAAATTCAATGCGCAATGCAGACAACAAACCAACAGCAAACAAACCAGCAGATATATTGGCCAAATACATACCCAATAATTTACTCGAACCTAGCCTCCATATTCATCCAGGTTCATCCATTTTACTTCTTCCTTATTTTTCGTTCCTATTACAAAAAAACCTGTATGTTGCCCTGGTCCACCTCATCAGATTTTATGACAGGGAGGTAGTGATGGTAATTCAGATAAGCATGCAATAAAGTTAGTAACAGCCCCTTTTACCTTTTCATCATTTGTGTCTTTCATTTCATGTTAAAAAACAATACTAAAAAGGCCAAAAAAAAAAAAAATGTAATGGAAAAAGAAAACGAAGGGAAGGAAAATTTTTAAATAAATATCAAACAGCTGCGTAGATGAGAATAACCCTTTGAAATCTGAACCTTAAAGCAGAGGAAAACGATCAAAAGGAACGGCGACGGTGCGCTGCAACTTGTCTAATAATCATATCGCCAACGTGTGTCAATGTCATTTCGTTCTTATCCAATAGTACGTAGTGTGTTTGCATGTTGAGATAAAGTTTGAGTGTATGCTCGTACTCAATTGTACGTGTGTGTATTGATCGAAGAGTACGATATATATGATTGAGTTCAAGAGAGCTAGGGTTTGTAAAATTTGAGGTTAAGACGGCAACCGTACTAAGGTTTTGTTTGTACAAAAGCCGTCTGTATGACTGTTTAGGTCTCGTTTGGCAGCTCGGACTGTACTGACTATTTCTGTCGAATAGGATAAATAGTCATCGGATAGTGTTGACTAAATTCGTTGGGCGTTTGGTGCAATATTGGATTAATGACCGTATTATTTATACTGTGTTTGGTACTGAACTAGATATAACAAGAGAAAAAAAAATTTAACAAATCTTTCTTTGTTTGTTGAACTTTTCTCATATTTATACCTATTGAAAACCACATAAATTTTCAAATAACAAAGAAAAATAGTAAATTTCATACATCAAATTCAAAATATTTTCCAATAACATAAAAGAAGGTTCACATAAAACAACTACAATCGTTACGATATATAATCCAACCACATATCCAAGTTCATAAAATATACAAATGCAAGGTGGTTTCAGTAAGAAACAATTTGTCCAAATAGCCAAAATATATGCATGCTACTTTTAACAAAATATATGCATGCTACAGCTTTTAACAAAATCTATTGTTGTTGGTTTGAAATGTCAATTGGGGTTACTTTGTCCAAGTAACATGAGTACAAGGGCTTTTTTCATTGCACCATCCAAAGACGAGAATGTCCTCTCATTCTGTGGCTTTTCGAAAAGGATATTTAGTGCCATGATTTGATCCTCAATAGACAAATCCATCTTTGACAATTCTGAAACAATCTCAGGTTTTGGATCCACTCCTTTTCCAAAAGCAACTTGTAAAACTTCACCCAACTTATCAACTGATTCAGAAAGCATTTCTTTAAATGCCACAGCAAGATCATTATCATTAGTAGCTCTCTTCCTTTCCGGGTACTTGAACTACTGGACCGTCGAGCAAAAGAGGGAGAACTAGTCTCCGCCTCATCTTCATCTTCATTAATGTGCTCAGGCTCATTCATCATCTCAGTAGGAGTTGCAGCTCCTATTCCGGTTGCTCGGTCTTTCCCAAAAATAACATTCAATCTGTCATACAATGGAAACGATTTTCCTAGCCAGCCTTCTGCTTCTTTGTTAACCTGCAATGCGAAAACAAATCACACTATCCATAAAATACAAACAATCTTATTTTGTTCCCTTCAACCTGTCTTGATATAATCAAGCATCCATTAATTTAATTAAGCTGTTATAATGAATGGGGCTAAAGGATATGGTTTGGTAGACACAATCATACTATTAAATTGTATGTAAAGGAACATGTTAAGTAATCAAATATATAAAGTTAAATTCTAGTATTATGTTAGAGAATTACCTTTACATAGGATTGCCATACTTCAGTGCTATCAACCTCAATACACTTTTGTACATCATTCCATGCAAAACTAGTTTTATTAACCATGTCATAAACTATTGCATAATCTTTTTTCCACCTCCTCATTTTGGACTCAATATGTGGAACTGCCTTTATATTGTCATTAGGACATTTCAAATTAATAGCTGTTTCAAACTGAGCCATTGTTCCAGGTTTGAAATAACCATTATCACATCGCAAATTCTTAACAACTGCCTCATCAAGTATGGAGAGCAATGCATCTTCTTCATGTTGTTTCCAAACCCTTCTACTTCCTTTTGGTTGACTACTTTGTTCACTTTCCATTCCTACAATTATATACACAACATGTGGAACTGCCTTTATATTGGCATTAGGACATATAATCAATAATGCATATAATTAATAGTAAGTGATAAAAATCATAAGCAAATCATCACACTTTTTAAATAAATACATAACCAGGTTGCACTTTGTTCGAATAAAGTATCATAACCGAATACATAAGAAATTACTATTTGTTCAAATAACAAACCATAACCAAATCACAACATGCATATGTAAAAAAACTTAATCAAATCACACTTGTGCACGCCACTCATTGTACATATTCATAGCCAAAGTGTTTCTCCATGCAGTCTATTCTTGTGTAGGTTGAACACTCTTAATCATATCTCATCATCATCACTACTTTCAGATTCAGTCCAAGTTTAGGATTTCATTTTCTATTGGATCAGCTGACATATGCCTTCTAATAAGATTATGTAATAGGCAGCAGGCTATCATAATCCTAAATTGTGTTTTAATTAGGAAAAATGATGGACCTCTTAAGATGCTCTAACACATCTTAAGTAGTCCAAAACATCTCTTAATGACATTTCTAGCTTGAGCATGTTTCATATTGACATACTCCTCATGATTAATCGGGAGTCTTCTATTTCTTCACTCCGAGAGATGGTAACGCACTCCCCTATACAGTGCAAGGTATCCTGGACCATTTGTGTACCTACCATCCACAAGGTAGTAACACCCTAACACACAAAAAAATGTATATTACTATATATAAGAAAAATGAGGATTCAAATTACTAATATAAACAAATAATCTATTGTTACCCATGGGAACTTTTAATCCCGATGGTCTACTTATCGAATCTCGGAGTACTTTAGAATCAGATGCCGACCCTTCCTAACCTGGGTACACAAATATAAAATTCATGTCCACATTACGGACTCCCAACATATTGGTCACAATCTCTCTCTTCCTTGATCGGTATCTTGGTTTATCTCGCTTAGGGACATGAACGTTAATGTAAGTCCCATCCAATGCCCCCAAGCAATTCTAAAAATAATCATTAACATTAGTATGCTCAATATATTTAATTACATTAATTTTAGAAGTAATTTTTATAAAATATGAAGAATACCTCAAACCAACTCCATTTAGGATCTCTGGGTAGACATTAGGAATGGGTTCTGGCACTTTCAAAAGTGTACCTTGTAGCCTTAACACTCCATGTAGAATGGAATTGAAATACCTACTTATGGTCTCCCCCGATCGACAAAACCTACTCCCAATTGTACGATTCTTGACATGATGTGCAAGTATATGCAAAAACATGCAAACTTGTTCTTCCATTGTCACTACACCATCCAATTTTACTCTACCGTGGTCACGAAGCATTTGACATAAATAATGGAACGTTCTTCTATCCATTCTAATTTGGTTCACACACTGAACATCATCATGTCCTATTATGCTATCTAAATAGGCTAACCCAACCATTCTCCTAACAAATGTGCGATTTCTAAGTGCAAGTTGCCGATTCCGCCTTCTAGCTGAATTATGATTCTTGATGAACCACATCATCAACCAAGTCACAATATTCAAGTACCACACGTTAACAATGAAGCATGCCACAATCTTTCTTTGATCCATGTCTAGTGAAAATATAAAATATCATTATTAGATAGTGGCAAAAAATTAAGTAACTGGAGCATGAATGCATAATAACACTGAAAACGGAAGGAAGCATGTTAATAAGTCCTACCAAAAAATGTCATAGGCAGATAATAAATCCTATAGACTGTTGCGGTGATCATAAGGAAAAATTACAATGAAATTAGAAAGATGTCTTGACATTCATCAGTCAAGGAAGCATGTTACGAATCGAATTCAAAAACACACACTCTAAGGTAATTACTTTACAAACTGGAATAAATGCCAATCAACAATTCAACAACCCTAGTTCAAAATTTTTCTCACACACACACACACAGAGGAATAAGGATTTCGTGCCCCACGGTATAATATATGTGTCCAATCTAGCAAACCCAGGGAGCCCCAAGCAGCTTGCCTATTCTTTTCGCACACCTTTGAATGGAATAAGCTGCGCACGCTGCCCTTAGTTTTCTCTTGCATTGCAAGCGCGCGCGCGCACACACACACACACAAACACACACACACACACACACACACACACACACACACACACACTCTAAGGTAATTAACAAACTGGAATAAATGCCAATCAACAATTCAACAACCCTAGTTCGAAATTTTTCACACACACACACACACACATTCTAAGTTAATTACTTTACAAACTGGAATAAATGCCAATCAACAATTCAACAACCCTAGTTCAAAATTTTTCACACACACACACACACAGATATATATATATATATATATATATAAAGTAAAATTCACATAAAAATTAAAAAAATTTGGAATGAGATTTGTAGTTCAGGTGTGGTTAAGAGTTGTCACCGTTTTACCCAAGGTCAAGTTTCCGTATGGTTGCGTTGCGGCTGTGAGACAACGAGTGAAACGGGAGCTGCGCCAGAGACAAAGTTTTGTTTAGGTAAGTGAACCTACACACTCCCACTCTACCCAATCATTAAAATTGTAAGTTCAACACCAACAACAAACCCTAAATTCGCCCCCAATAGCAAACCCTAAAATTCAAAAATTCTAATTAAAACACAAAATTACATAATCAATTGCATAATTAGAGAGAAAATAATAACTAGATTCAATCAATTGAAAGAAAATTGCAAGAAAAATAGGAGGAGGGGGAAGAATAAAAGGAGGGGCGGAATCCTAGAAGAAGAAATCTGAAAAGACGAACTATGATTCAAACGAAGAAGAAGTTGAGAAGACGAACCTGGGATGAGAGGAAGAGAGAGCACCTGGAGAGCACCTGGAGAGGAAGAGAGGGCGCGGAAGACTGGTCTCTCAGCGAGCCCGACTAAGTTATACCGTGCACTTGCACGGTGTGCACGGTATTAGTAAGCGGGTAAGCGTCGTGTAAAAAAGGTGGGTCCGGATTATTTAATCCAGTGCCTATTTAATCCAAACGGTCACCAAACGCGGTACACCGTATTATTAGTCCTATCCAATGCCTTATACAATGTGCCAAACAAGACCTTAGTCGACATCGAATAGGATTAGCGTAAAACTATAACTTTGTGCAAGTCTTTCTAATTTATATTCTAACAGTAGCTGCCGATATATTCCAAGTGAAGCCAGCAGCCTCGTAATCTTTTGGATTTTGCTAGCTAGCTATTGTCCCCATGCATGCATGCATGCATGTCTCCCACAAAGTAGAAGCTAGAAGGGTTTTCATAACTACAATGAAATTATCATGCATTATCCTTGGTTTTAAAGTAGAACGATATATTTACCCATATAATTTTCTACATTACTAAGTGTAAAAAACTGTTATTTTTCACCATAATCTTTTAGATCAATTTTCTACGTTAATAATGACCTTAAGCTATTGTTGATTTTTCATGCACTATGATGAAATTAGGTTATTTTCTTAATTAAATGGCAATGTTAATGTATTCAAATATGATCCCCTTTGCTTAGACTGATTTCTACACATCCAACTCTTATTTAAATTCACCCGCATATCTATCTACACTCCATTAAAATATTTTTTCTAGGTCCTCACATTTGTTTCAAAAATACCCTTACACACCAACACCATACCTACCAACAGATCACACTCAGCCTATTTGTAACCATTAAAAAAAGAAAAAGGAAAAGAAAAAGAACAAAGAACAGAACAGATTGCGCGACTGCGTCCAACACTAGCCAAATGGTGGTGAAGGCATATCGATGGGTTATTATGATTCATTAAAATGCATATCGGTAGGAAATGTCATGTACTGACATGTTCCAAAAATTTCCACGCTTGGTACTAGGCGACTGATCACCGTCCCGATTAGTTTCTAAGACACTCATCTAATTAAACTCGCCTACATCGCGATACCCTTGAAGGCCTCCTATATATGTATACATATATGTGTGTGTGTGTGTGTGTGTGTGAAAATCAATAGATGGAGACAATGAGGAGATGAGTGAGAGTAGTACCTGATGATGATTGAGAGCAGGTGAGACAGTGGAGGTGGTGACGGTAGGAGCGACAGAGCAACCAAAGAGGAGGATTTAGATGTGGTTCTTCTTCCTCTCACTTCACTTCTTTTTCTCTCTCAGATTCAGACGAAAATGAGTGTCAGAGGCTCAAATGAAACAGCAAGACACCAAAGATGAAAGATTGAATTGAAGTCGGTGGACCCAAGCTTTTCATGGGTCTAGAGTTTGGGCCGGGGTGAGTCTGAGGTAGCAGTAGCGTCGGTATCCAAATGTTCGTTGACAAGACAACGATCTCTCCTCTCCTCTCCTTGGGAAGGAGATCGTTGTCGTCGTGTCAGGAAGAAATGGGAGAGACAGAGCATAGCAGAGAGATCCATAAAGGAAGAGATATTAAACAGACAAAGGCTACAGTCAAGGGCAAAATCGAAAACTCATTGTTTGAGCCATTTTAATTAGACTGGTTTAGTGTTGGGCTTTGTTCTAATAATCGAAAGCAATCTAGGATGACTTTCTCCCATGATCTTTCAGTAGCAGCAATGTTTGATTGCATACCAAGTCTTGAAATTAATTCTCATGGGTAATTTTCGGGCCCGACATTCGGAGCCTTGTTGAAACAAGCCTGGGGGGGCAACCTTCCACAAACGCATCAAGCCCATGCATGTATAATACGTTCTGAGGCTCTCAGCCTTTAGGCTTTGCATAAATGGATGACATAAGACAGTGAAGCCTAGATTACTGATCAAGAAAACAAACAAGAGAGAGCATCCAATTATCTTGTTCACACTGCACCTTAATGTATTTTTTTCATTTATCTTTACACGCGAGACGCAATTTCAACCTAGATAAGAAAATGTGCAACTCAAAAGTTCTTTATACACATATATATAACAGCATTTCTTCTATACTAAATCTCTGTTGTTTAATTGATATTAAATACTTGACATTTTTTTTTAAAAGTAGTCATTTATGTTCATACTTGTTTGTGATCACAATTTGACACGTGAATTTCTTTAATAAATTATTTCTGTATCTATGTCAAACTATGACTTACCGTAATGTGGGGAGGGGCCAAACTGAGTTTTAGTTGGATAACATGGCTTAATCAAAGAGAACCCTTACAAATAGCACTTTGCCATTTAACTACCATTTTTGGCATAGAACTAATGAACATGTACTATAGTAATTTTAATGATTTTATCCATAGACAACCCCTAAATTCTAGTGCTGACAGGGCAACAAAAGTTCAAGTCTCAGGGGAAGGGAGGCAATCTCTCTATCCCAATGTGCTGACATATCTTATGAATGAAAAGAGATTCGCAGTTCTTACCCTTTAGCTTTTTTGTTTTAGAAGGGTTCTATGTCCCCAACCTCCACACCCCTCTTTTGTATGTTCTTTATCAAGAAGGGTTCAGATCTATGTTTTTTTTTTTTTTCCCTAGCTTTATAAAGAGTAATGTTTACGTCCCTGGCAAGTATAATTATGTCATAAGCTTAAAAAAATTGCAAAGCACATTGGATGTCATAAGCTTGACCATACTTCACGTAATATTCTTCTTTTGGGCGTAAAGTATTCTCACAGGTCCAAACACCATTTTCATCACCCAGTTTCCCTACAATTTCCTCACTTGACCTGCAAGTACAACTAATAAAAACTGACGCATTCACCCACCCACACATTAGATCAATTTCCCCCCAATTTCTTCCTTGACCTCGACTTCCTCTCCATCCTGGTTACGCAAATAATTAGAAACACACAGTTTAGATTGGGAGACAAAACCAAAAACCCATATCACTCAGCAGTAGATTCTTTTGAGAACTTATTTAATAATTTTAATTTTGTATTGACTGAAAACCTACTTACCTGGTAGAAGAATGATGGACTAATTGAGAGAAATCTGAATACATATTTAACAGGGAAAGTGGGTGAAAAAGGGCGAACCGGAAAAAGGGCAAGAGGCATTTTACCACAATGGTGAAAAGGAGTTGAGTTCTTGTAAATTGATAAATAGGGATATATACACATATATATTTGTCAAATGAGATTATTTGTACACATAGAAGAAATTAGATTTTCATCTTTTTTTTTTCTACTCCATTGATTAAAATCTTATTCTTTTTCAATTTTTGGTCAAGGTCCTTAGGTTTTAATGAACGTCATTATTTCAACAATAAAATATTTACATGTCAAGATAATTAAATTTTATTACTAAATATATTCATTTAGTGTTAGAAACGTTACCGTTTGGTATATTTATATTTAGGGCTAAACTTTGTATCATATATTTCTATTTTAGTTTGTAACCATTTTTAATTTGCAACCCTTTTTTTTTTTTTAATTTGTACTAATTTTCTTTACAATTTTAATTTGTACCCATATATTAATTTTTTTTGTTCCCATATTTTTAAAATTTTTATTTGTACTCATAATTTTTTCACCTTCTATTTGTATCCATTTTATTTATACTGTATCCATGTTTCTTTTAAAGTGAACCACTTGTTATATCATACTTGTAAAATGTGCCCATTTTTTAATAGAAAATAATATATATATATATATATATATTTTTTTTAAATCTAAAATGTATTCATTGTTGTTTATAAAAATGTACACGTTGTTTTCTATATAAAGTGCACCCATTGTTTTTTTATATAAAACGTACCCATTTTTTGTATAAAATGTACCCATATTTTTTTAATTTATAATTATGTGCACCATTGTAGTCATATAATTATACGGGTACATTCTTCTTAAACATTTTTTAGACTTATTTATTAAAATATTTTTCTTTTGGAACAATGTTGAAATTGTACTCATAGATAATTATATATAATGAATGTACGGGTGCATTCTTTTGACATGTGAAACTATTTTATCATTCGTAACAATGTTTTCTTTTGGTCAAATTCATAACAATGTTGGATAACGTTCTTTTGGCACTTTTTTTACATTGTTTCCAATTGATTGATACATATATATATATATATGCATACTTGTACTTGCTATTTATTAGTATACAATTTCAAAAGGAATTATATTGTTATTTGATTTTTTATTCAATCAAAATTTTGAAAAATTTTCCATATTTTTTTGTTGGCCCTTTTATTTTTATTTTTATTATAGCTCATTAGATGTGAGATTTTAAATACCCTAAAATCTCAAGCTTTATTGCTGACATGGCAATATATTAATACTAATATGTTGAGGTGTACAAAGTTAAAGGACTTTGATAAAAAATTAAAAAAAATTGAAAACCACTAAGGATTTATTCAATGAGTATTAGTAGTTAGAAACCGCATACAAAGTCTCATGTACACATATTTACAGAGATGGAATTAGGTCGTAGATGCATTATCTTTATTTGGGGCCCATAGTTATGTTTATCACTGGTGGTCTATAGTCCTGGATTTTGTAGTTTCTTACCCATGCTCGTGACATCTTGTTTTGTCCTTATTATTTGTTTTTGTCGATAGTTTTGTCTTGCAATCTTGCACAGTACGCTTGCTTGTATCTTTTTCCTTTACTTTTATATTATTAATAATAAAAATGGCGAAGGAGGTACGGATGAAGGGCAATTGTGTGTAATTAATGGTCCTCACCCCGGAAAGGATTGGTATATCGCATGCAATCATTGCTAAAGAGCTCCCTCGCTTAATTTTTCTCCATTTAATATATATATATATATATATGTGTGTGTGTGTGTGTTGAATTGGGCCTCATATGTTTAATGTGATCTTTGATTACTTTTGCCTTATTCGATTTGAAAACTGTGACAAAAATGTGCAGGAGTAAAAAAAAGTTGTGTAGAAATTATTTTTCTTTTTTATGTTAATCATTTGATCAAACCAATACCTAGTTATCGTTTTTGCATAAATGTGTTGCATAAGTATTAATATGAATATTGTTATATTTATCTTTCAAATATTGAAAGAAGTTCAAGTTCGAATCCTTCGGGTCGATTCAATCGGATACAAGTAAATTTGAGTTTACAATTTTATGCTTATGCTGTGGAACACAATAACACTGAGGTATCCACGTCAACTCTAGGGTAAGTAGGTCAAAAGCTACAACGAAAGCTCCATCAACCTTCTTGACTTTAAGACATTAAGGAACAGCAGTGAAGTATATGAAATATGAATTACATCCAAATTCCAAACAATTTTATGCTTATGCTGTGGAACACAATAACACTGAGGTATCCACGTCAACTCTAGGGTAAGTAGGTCAAAAGCTACAATGAAAGCTCCATCAACCTTCTTGACTTTAAGACATTAAGGAACAGTAGTGAAGTATATGAAATATGAATTACATCCAAATTCCAAAGTGTATAGTGATCATTACCAACACAAAACATTTTTTTTTTTTTTTTTTGGATTTTGGTTTAACTTTGACTCATAATTTTCAAGGCCCCCGGGAAATCGAAGCGCAAGAGAATTTGGAACTATTCAGAGTCAGTGAACCATCAATTCTTGGGACCCAAAAGGAAGTTTCCATGCAGCTTCCTCTCGTCCACTCCACCTAAAAAATAAGTCTTGTAATAGTGTTGGTTTCCTCAGACGTTCAATTTCACTGCAGGTCCCAATACTTTATGCTCATAAACAAGGAAAGGATCCTCTCCAATCTTTTCCATCTAATCATTCTCATCAAACAATCTGGATCTTTGAAATTTAATCAAATGGTTAAAAATACAAGTTAATTTTAAAAGTTATAATAACTTTAACCGTTGAATCAAATTTTAAAGGTCCGAATTATTTGATAAGGAGAACTAGATGAAAGAAATCCATATAGGATCCTTTCCCATAAACAATTAAACCCGAATCATTTTCCTTCCTATATAAGATGTGACACACTTTGTGACTTGTATCACAGTTTCTTGCATAGAAAATATTAATTGTCTGATTCTAGGTTCTCCTTAGCCTTCATAGCCTTCATAGCTCTGTCGTCTCCCTACCAATGGCAACAACTGATAGCCCAATTTCCAAACCCTCAAATGGTTCTCTAACAAAACCATCAAACTCAGTTTCCCTGGTCGACGATCATCAAAGTCTAGCTTCTCTACTAGTCCAAACTCTCCTTTGTCCCCAACTACTGCTCGAACCGGAATAATTAGTCCGAGATGTACAAGCAAAGAAGATGAGCTTAGAGAAGTTTTTCGCTACTTTGACGGAGATGGTGATGGAAAAATATCAGCCTCGGAGCTCAGAGCCTATTTCGGGTCCATCGGTGAGTACATGTCACACGAAGAGGCCGAGGCCGCAATCAACGATCTTGATGCGGACGGCGACAGTCTGTTAGACTTTGAAGATTTTCTGCAGCTGATGAATAGCGGAGGTGGTGACGATGAGGACTTGAAGAAGGCGTTTGAGATGTTTGAGTTAGAGAAGGGAGTCATAACCCCTAAAAGCTTGCAGAGGATGCTGGACAGACTTGGTGACACCAAGTCGTACAATGAGTGTGTTACGATGATTCAAGTTTTTGATACTGATGGTAACGGGGTGCTTGATTTTAATGAGTTTCATCGAATGATGGCTTAATGATCAACTTAACTAAGTTTATAGTTGATGATTAATGAAAGTATTTTGTAAAATAATGTCTAAGAATTAGTCGTGAATATGTATGCATGGTTGGTGTTGTCTTATGATCTTCGTGGAATTGGAACATTACTATAGTATTCAATTTTCCCATTTATTTTATGCTAAGAGTTTAAGCACAAATAGAGAGTTTTAAAAGATCATTTGCAGATGTATAAAACTTGATTTGTTACTTTGTTTTCACGGTAGCTTCTTATTATTATTACTACCATTTGTCTATACATTTTGTATATATCAGCACCTTTTATTTTTATTTTAAAGGGGAAACTTAATATGAGTCCAATTTTATGAGCCATTATTAGTTATAGTTCAATTTTATTTAATTTTTAGGTTTGGTCCAGTGATTCATTGTCCACATAAGCTTATTTGTATTCTCTTGTCAAATTTACCCTTAAATTGACCAACTAAGTAATTACTGTTTTTTTTAAGTTTGTGATTAATGTTAATTGTATCCTTAATTATAGGATTAGGGATTTAAATCTCCTTTTTTTTCTTCTCCTTCCCCAAATCATTCATTTCTCTTTTCTTGTTTCTCCCTCACAATATCTTTCTCTTCCTCTGTTATTTTTCCCAGTAGTCTTCTACCATAATATTATTCTTTTGCTCCTCCTTTCATAAGGATGATCAATATACATTTGATTGGTCTTTAAAAAAAAAAAAAAAAAAAATTGTATTAGTCAATCTTGTGTTTTGGGTTCTTCGTCCCATAAATATATATATATATATATATATATATATATTTTTTTTTTTTTAACTTTGAAGTTCTGTCGAATGAGCATTTTTTCTAGTGTTTCCTCCCTCAATATCATTTTTCTTCACGATTTTTTTGGTTTTTATCTACCTATATCACTTGTCCTTTATTTTTTTATTTATTTATTTATCTTTTTATATTATACTGTGCCTGTATCATGAATAATTGTATTTATCTACCTATATATTACATATTTTGTTGATAATCTATATAAGATTAATTGTGTTTATCTACCTATATATCACAAATTAACTGTGTTATCTACCTATACAATAAGTTTTTGTTCATAGTCTATCTGCATCATAGATTATTTTGTATTATCTATCTATACAATAGGTTTTTGTTCATAGGCTACCTCTATCATAGATTCTACCTACATCACAAATTTTTTATCTACCTCTAGCAATGTTTCTTTTAATTTTTGATAAACTTATAAGATTTGTAATAATGTCTTTTTAATTAAAAAACGGGTAGATAAAGGTATTTGAAGATTCAAATTTTAAAAATTCAAATTTAAAGAATTAAAAAAAAATTCTAGGGGCAAAACAGGTGTAATAGAAAATCAAATAAAATTGGACCCAATTCAAAAACAGCTGAATTTTTTGGACCTTAATCAAAGTGACCCTATTTTAAAATGGAAAGGGAAGAGAGGGAGATAATGTGGGTGTGAGTGGGAGGTTTTTGTTTTTGTTTTTTTTTTTTTTTAATGTTAGATGTATCTTAACATCACCGAGGTTTAATAAAAAACAGTAAAATTGGGATATTTAAAATTACATTATTGTCTATTATTTTTTTTGTGTGATACAAGTAGTTTAGATTATTATTATTATATTATTATTATTTGCTTTTTTTTTTTAACAAATAAAATTATCTATACTATGAGGAGGGGATGGGCGCCTTAGCCTCATAATAAGCTATCAATGATATGGTTCAAATTTACCTTTTATAAGAATCGAATATAAGACCTCTCACTTATTATTATTGCATTTATGCATGTATTTTATTATAATTCTGTCAGGAGTATATATTCTAAGGTTGAAGAGTTCCATGATCATGCCATGTGTAAAAAAGGCTTAAAGCTGAAGCAAAGTTGTGAGGATCTGAAGGAAAGTAAGGAAAAGAAAAATTAATATGTAAGCTTTAAGGGCTTGTAGAATTGACCAGAAAACAACCTTTCAGTTCTTTCTTTTTTGTGACTTAATTATTGAAGCTAACTTAGCAGGCAGCACAGTCAGTCCGTGAAAATCATAAACAATATCATAGTGCCACCGAAAACGCGTGAACTTAAAACCGATCATATGTTGCTACTGGTATGTACTTGTCAACATTGGATTGGACTAGCATTTTGCACAACATATAAGTACTTTATTCAGGACCATAAGATTGATTAATCATAACCAAACTTAAATTTAACTCTTACGGCCTGTCACGGAATGAGATTCTGAGGCTCCAACACCCATGCGGCCTTGGACTTGATCGCCCCTCGAACAAGCTAAGTTCGGCATTCACACCTACAAAATAGCTCAAAAGCCCTATTGGGATGGAGGGATTTGAAACTTGTATTCTTTGTATTTCATGGATTGGCTAGCCATTCGTGCATGATTTGTTTCTACCCAAAGGTCTAACATAATCATGCAATTATAATTATTTCGATCTTCAACAACTTTTGAATGGACGATTTGGCTTCGTCCATGGTTTGAATAACCTGTAAATGAGTTAAACTTTTATTTTCTATGAATTAGGAATTAAAGCAAGTATGATGATTGTTGTTATACAAGGTGCTATTTTTTTGTTAGCTTTGACATTATAATTAGAACTTTTAGTTTTACATCTTCACCATATAACTCCTCTTATATTATCTGTTTGAATGTTATGCTGATCCAACTTTTTTTTTTTTTATAAACTCATAAACTTTTTAAGGTTTCCTTCGGCATAAATCTCATGACTTTATACTTTTGACACAAATGCATATATTTTATGGCAGTCTATGTATCATGAATTTTGTATATGATACATATTTATGTGTCCTGTTAAATATTTCAAGGTATTATATTTAATGGACATCTATATCAGTTTATCGATTATGAACTGATAAATGAAATATAGGTTTCGACTTATGTTTAAAGAAGGGTTAATAAGCATATTTGTTCAACAGTGTTTGCTTATTAATTTTTTTCTTCCTGTTCGAAAAATTAAAACTGTGATTTATATATTATTGATGGATAATTAATCTGCTCAAAAGTGTTTTATCGTTCAGTCCAAGTATAAAGCAATGTATAGTGAAACTTGGAATTGACAAGATTGTATATACTTCATTTGCTCAAAAGGGTTGAAGCTACGAATGCCCTTGTGTTTTATGTTTTAGCTATACAAACCTAAGATAATCAAGTTCGATCCAAAAATAATTATGCAATTATATGCTTTTGTTGCAATAAGAAAGCACTCAGTTAAATTTTTTTTTCCTGTCAAATGTTTGATGAACAAAACTAACTAAATTAATGGTTCTTTTTGTCACATGAATCACTTCTCTAAAGTTATTTGGCATAAGTTGTAGCCATAAAGTTAATAGTTGATGTTTAGCTCACAATTTTTATGATTGGAGATCTCATGATAGATGTTTTACTAGTAGGAGTATTTGAAAGGTACCTATTTGCTTTTGTAGGTGTTTATATTATTTTTTACTCTTTTAATGAGCGAGAGTAATAGTCTGCATATGTAATTTTATCTCTTTTAATCAATGTGAGTAAGAGATTACCATTTGTACTGAAAAGTTGAAGTGTTTATGGCTAATAGTTAATTTTGTTTAGGTTTTGTTCATAAGTTCTTATAGGAGACGAATTTTGTAATAGTATTATTGTATTTGCTTCTTCTCTTATTCTTATATTAGATTTTTAAATGGACATAAAAGTTAGATTCTGTTACCAACATTATAAAGTTCATTTATGAGCTACTTTTGTTTTAAAGGATTAGTGTAAATGAACACTATCCTTGACGCCATAACATTTTCTGCAACATTGTATTATTGATTTGAGTGTGTATGTGATTATGGTGTGAATATGTAGCTGGATATGCATCTTGTTTTCTATAGTTCTGCATTCATATTAATGATGACAGTTGTTATGAGAGTTTGGTTACAGAATTTAGCAGACTCAGTGATCAGTGTTATTCTGGTTGTTTTTGTTGATTTTGTGTACAAGTTCATTGACACGCAAGTGGGAGATGATAGGATTTTTACCATCTATAAAAGTAGAGATAAAAATACTCGCAAGAGTACGGGGTAATCGTAGTATAGTCGGCTCTAGTAAGGTCGTTCTCCACAGAGATTGAATGAATAATTTATGTCAAAACTAAATCTTAGTTAATTATTTAAAACAAAGTTTGAGAAAATGTTGATTTTGTGACTTAAAATTATAAAAACGAATTTAATAAAAATAATTAAATAAATTGACAAATTAAATAAACTAAAAGAAAACGGTTTTTGAAAATTAAATTGTAAAGGCACTAGGATTCCACTGTTATCTTAATAATCCTACGTAGTTCTTCCAGTTACTTATGATTTACACATGCATATTTGAAGGTTAGGATTTCCTAAAGTATGTCTACTTAGACCTGATAGAGATTTTACAACACACACAAATGGGTTAAAAACTTCTATATTACTTGCAAGAATGACAAGGTTGTTGTAGTATAAACGGTTCTCGCAAGGTCGTTCTCCACATGGATTATTAAATAATTTGAAACAAACCAAATTCCAATTAATTATTGTAAAGCAGAAAATTGAGATGATTGGTTTTATAATCTACTCAAATTAAAATGAATTTAATTAATAAAAATAAACTAATCTGCAATATTAAAGATGAAGGGGAAAGAAAACTGTTTTGGAAAAAATCAAATTAAGAAAGCACTAGGGTTCCACCACCACCTAGCAATCCTATGTATTTTTACTAATTACTTATGATCTACACATGCCACTTTGAAGGTTAGGTTTTCCTAATTTATATTCTACTTGGAACCTCTATCATAGAACATATATCTAACATGCAACCCGTCCGAACGTTCGGATCAAATCTGAACATGAAAGACTCATTATGCTTTATGAAAACCCTTTGAAAAACTATGTAACCCTTAAGATGTGATGTTCATCTTAAGTGAAATTACAATTATTAATCACAAGAAGCCAGCGTCAATTTCAGGAAATCTTCCAACCAAAATTGTATCAAATTACTTTTCTAAGGATCCTAATGGTGATCAGGCATTAAGACAATTAGATAGTTTTAATCACGGTGATTAGTAATTCAAAGTGCACATGCAAACAATCATAAGCAATTGAATAAAAATTACATATTCATGCTAAGGCTCAAGGCTTCGCCCTAGCAAAAGGAATTAGTTGCGCATATTCATAATTGAAATCATAGAAAATATTATTAAGAATAAAAGGAATGAAAACACCTTAAAGTAGAAAATCTCCAAGAATCCTAGCAATAACTCTCTGTCTCCAAAGTTGCATAAAAAAAAACTCTCGAAAACTAGAACCGGCCAAAGCCTTTTAATATCTCCCTAAAGCCAACGCACAAACCCTAACAAAAAGTATTTTATTCCCACTAAGAAACTAAATAATAATGAAATAAAATAGAAAATAAAACCCTAATTAAACTAGGAGAATCTGCCAAGTACTTATCCAGCCACGTTTTAGCCACAAATCTCCTCCAAATCCAGCCCATAATAACTTGTTTTAAGGATTAGGACATTCTGAACACATCTCCAGAAGGCCATGAACCCATCCGAGGTCATCTTGGGCTCCAAAAACGCAATTCAAGCCCAAAACGTCACCATTCCAGCATTGCGCATTGCTTCTTTATTTTATTGCTAGAAAATAATTGCTTGGTAGAAAAATCTGAGTTTTTGGTACGATCAAGCCAAGTGACTCACAAACGTCCTCCAATTGGAATTACTCCAAAATTCGTCCATTTGGCCATGTTTTTCTCCAGAGAAAATCGAAAGTCCTATATTAGAAATACAATTCAAAGTATCAAAATTCTTCCAAATTATTAACCAAAGTATACTAAGAATAGGGTAAAATATATAATATGAAATTGACTCATCAAGACCCCCAACATAAAGCGTATATCAAATATGCAACCCGTCTGTGGTATTCAGATCAAATCTAAACATGCAAGACTCATTAAACTTTGTGAAAACATTTTGAAAAACCATGCAACCCTTAAGATGTAGTATTCATCCTAAGAGAACTTGCATATATTAACCACAAGAAGTCTTCGTTAATTTCAAGGACCGACCTCGGACCAAAATTGCATCAAATTACTTTTCTAAATGTCCTCATAGTGATCAAGCATTAAAACAAATCGATAGTTTAAATTGGTGATTAATAATTCAAAACCTACATGCATAATATCATAAGTTAATTGAAAATAAACTGCATATTCTTACTAAGGCTCGTGGCCTCGCCCTAGCAAAAGAGAATTAGTTACGAACAATCATAAAACGAAACATTATTAAAAACAAGGGATAGAAAACACCTTGTAAATAACCAAAAGCTCTCTCAGCCAAATTCTCATTCTTCTCTCTAAAAACTCTAATGGCTAAACAACCTTATTTATACTACTATACAATTAACATCCTTGCTAGAAAAGGTCTTCTGAAAACTAGGAAACATAATAACTTAAGAGAAACTAGGAAACATAATCTTAATCAAATATGGGAAATTTGCCTAGCCACAAATCAGCCACATTTCTGGATCTTCAAGGCTCCAAAACAAGCCCAAAATAACTAGAATTAAAGCTTGAGATGTCTTGAGCATAATTACAAACGGTCTTGAACCCAAAAGACATCATCTTGGATGCTAAAAAAGACCAAATTAAACAAGCCAAAAAGGTCACTTTGACAGCACTGCACGCTGCTCCTTTCTTTCTTATCCATAAATTATTCGGTTGGTAGAAAAATATGAAACTTTGAAATGAACAAGCTGAGAGACACACAACATCCTCCAATTGGAATCACTCCAAAATTCATCCGTTTGATCACTTTTTGCTTAAGAGGAAGTCGAATGTCTTATATTGTAAGTATAAAGCAAAGTATAAAAAATCTACAAAATAACCAATACTAAGATTAGGGTAAAATATATAGCACAATATTGACTCATCAGGAGACTATAGACATAATTGTGAGTATCAATAACTTGTCAATCAATAACTTGATCCTCAAGTAATTTATTATTTAAGTGATTTGATATTCAAGTGATCTTGCAGAGCCAATATGACTAGAATAGTAGAGTCCTAACTCCAATTACGTAATACCGATTTAGTAAGACTGATTGTGGTAGGACATAAAATATGTGATTGTGATTATGAGTATCTCTCATTAGGCTTGATTGAGAGATATTCTAGCAACTACATATAAAGGATTGTCCCTGCTCTCACAAGTACATGTCCTATTCCAATGCTAAATCCTATTCACTAGCAATAGCATTTTAGATTGTAGAGGATAGAAGATAGTTCTGAGTTCTTCATCGCCATTATTTTTCTATGTATTCTACAAATAAGTTTGTCTATATTTTATATCGATTCGACTCATTATTCGTGATCCTAATGTCTAGTTTTTGTGCTTTCAAAATATGTCTTACACGAAAGACTCACATTCAACCAACAAGAAAGATAATATTCACGAGTATTAAAAATTGCAAGATGTATAACTAACATAAAGGCATGACGAGAAAAAAAAAACTGCACCAACGTTTGATAATCTTGTTAGAAGATAGGAGAAACGTGGAGGGGAATAGAGATAAAGTGCGACCAGAACCATGAAGACTTTATCGCCAAACAAAACTAAAATATAGGAGAAGCGTAGAGGGAATAACGAGCATCTTTGAAATTTTGGATTAGAAAACATAAAAGATTCAATCAATTCATAGAATGCATTTTTGAGTTTAACAATTAGATCTAGGTTCAAGAACTTAAAAACGGAAATGATGAACACATATTTTAATCTTTTACGTACTTTTCTTTATTCTTGATTGTTGATTCCATTTGATTTAGTTAATCCAATGTTTAGAAATAAAGAGGGATTGTAAAAAGCTAAAAAGGATGTGAGAAAATCTCTCCTCTAAAAAAATTGAGCTACTAAAAAATCAATATATATTATAATACATTTACATGAAGACTCTTATCGCCAAACGAAACTACACCTAGAAGATTTATATATATTGTTAGAAGAAAGAAGAAATGTGGACGGAATGACGAGCATCTTTTGGAATTTTGGATTAGTAAACAAAAATATTCAATCGATTCCTAGAAGGCATTCTTGAGTTCAACAATTAGACCTAGGTTCATGAACTTAAAACGAGAAAGAATAAACACATATTTTTAGTTTTGATCGTTGATTCTATTTGATTTATTAATCCAATGACTTAAAATAAAAAAGGGATTTTAAGAAACTAAAAATGTTGTGTGAAAATCTGTTCCTCACGGTATCGTTTGGTATGTAGACGGGACGGGATGGAACAGAAGGGGACGGGACAGGACGGAACGGAACGGAGCGGGAGCAAAAATGCCCTTGGATGGAAACAAGGAGGAAGAAGAAGGAGACGGAGAGGTTACAATTTTGTGTTCCACGAATGTGGAACGAGTTGTTCCAAGGGGGTGAGGTGGAACGAAAATTCATCCAAAACTTGTCCCGTGGAACAGCTCGTTCTACCCGTTTTAGGAGCACCAAACGTGGGACGGAACGTCTTGTCCCACTCTGTTCCGTCCCGTCTCACGTACCAAACGGTACTTGAATTGAGCCATTAAAAAATTAATATAATTATAATACATTGTTGGATTTAACGATTAACGTGCGTTCGAGAATTTGAAGAAATTTACTGTGTGAAATATGAACCACTAAAAAGCTTTCTTTGGGATTTTGGACCAGATTTGGTGGTAATAAGACTCCATCAATGGAACATGAGGCATTTGAAGGAAAATATTCGACCAAAAGAAAAGCGAAAGGGAATATTCGAGCACTCTCACGTCCTGTGCGTAAGTGTAGAGATTTTTCAGTGTTGCCGTCAGATCGAGGAGGCAAAGACGAAAACATGTCGCGGAAGCATGCCCAGCACGTGGAATTCAACCCTCGTTAGGTAGAAAAACACGGGTTTGCTGGATTGGCGGCTGCTGCTTCAAAAGTTTCCGACCCACCATTCCATTCCAGTCCACGGACTCCACAGAAACCATGGAGAAATAATGGTGGAGAAAAATTGAATCTTTTAGGGAGAATATGGACATGGGGTTTGCTGGATTGGCGGCTGCTGCTGCAAATGTTGGATTTGGAGAGGCAGAATATGAATTTGGATCGAGCGCGAGCAGGGCTCGAGCTGCCTTTCAATGGGGTGGAACCGTCTTTGCCTTGTGAGTCACTTCACTACTCAAAAAATTATCCTTTTCATTCTTTTACAGTTTTACTTTGTATTCAACTGTCCCGGCTGGTTGAAATCTGGAAACCCAATTCATAAATTCGAATGTTACTTCCAGTGCTTGCAGTATTAGTTAGAATTAGTGAGACGTTGTTGATTTTGGTTTGTTTGGATTGGATGCATGTGGTGCAAAAGGATGGCTATGTGTTGCTGAACTCTCAAGATGTGGACTTTGTTTCCATTATCTACTTACCATATGAATCGATGATTTGGATTTTTAATTGAAATTGCAGCTCCATTTAACAATCTGTTTAAATTCTGTATTGGGTTTGATAAATTAAACCGGAAGAAGAAACATATGAGAAAATCCTGTGAAATTTCTAGTTGAGTAATTGATGACAGAGCAAAGTAATTACCTTTCTTCCTATTATTTTTCAGTTTAAATTTATTAGTTTGTTTTGAGTGGCCCTGACCACGAGTATTTTGGTTTTGGTCTAATTCCATTGTTGTCACTGAAGTTTCGCGAGTCACATTTATGAGTATGATAGATTGATAGGTCATTAGAGACTGTTAAAGTACCTGTAAAAGTAAAATCTGTAATTTGTACTTAAATTTGACTGTTGTGACATTGTTTATTGTAACTGATAGATACTTGATATATTGAGATATATTTTCGATCAAATCGCTACCTTGTCTGATAGATTTTGTATGATGGCTTGAATAGCACATTTTTCTCTTTTATTCCTTTGGATCAAATTTTGTTGTCTATTGATGTGTTCTTTGTTTCACTTTTCAATTTACAAAACTTCATATGTCCGGGGTTAAGGTTTCCAGTACATGCGTTGTATTGTTTGTGACTGCTACTTGATATTTGTCAATGATGATCACCTTTTCTCGATATTCAATTTCTACCAAAACCTCTTTCATCAATAAGGTCTTCAGAAGGAAACTTTAGATAGACTACATTTGATTCCATCTTATTTTGACATGTCAACATAGCTCTTAGCACAGTAATTAATTCCCCAAATCCAACATTTTTTTGCACAGAATTTTGTTAATCTTGAACCGAGCAGGGCGGAGATCAGCCATGCAAAGTAACTTTCTTGTACTGTACTTGTTTACAAGCTTCCCAACAGTCTTGTTCAAAATTTTGAGGTGCTTACTGATCAATTCCTTTCAAATTTGCATAACTAATATGCCCACATATCCATCAAACTTACAAATCGAAGTATGCAGGGGGCAATTCGGTTATTGGGTTTCCTTTCTAGCTGTTGCCGCAAACCTCTTCTTTCCTCAAACTATTCCAGGTATCTTTATAATCTTGACCATGACATACTTCTTGACTTATGTCTATGATATGATTGTATTGTTATTTTAGATTTTCGGTTTCTGATGATTATATATGTGTGCAGTTTCTCGTTTTCTCTTGTTTGTCGTCACACCTGTCTGGGTCGCTAACGGACTGCGTGATAGTATCGTGGGCTGCATCTTTTGTCTAATACTCGGAGTTTCGCTGGTAATAGCAGAGATTCGAGGAATCGGAGGTTTTTGTAACTGTCGATGTAATTTTCATTGCTTTGCTTATTGTCTTTGTATAGGATTTATCTTCTTCTTTACAATATTGTATCTATGCTCAGAAATTTGGTAGAAAAGGAGAAGATGTAACATGTATTCTAGATCATTTATTGGCTTGTTTCGAAGGCTTGTTTTGATGGCTTGTTCCGAACTCAACTTTGTTTATGAATATTACTGAACAGCTCCATTGCAGATGCCATATCTACTTAGGCCAGATATATTTGATTGTGTTCTTACTGTAGATCAACATAAAGCACTAATACTTTGAAAATCTTTTACATCTATGTCGGCAAAGTTTCTGCCGTGTGAAATGCAGATTTGGAGACTTGGACCTTATGTTGAGTAAGAGTCTAATTGCCCGTCTGACGCATCATATATAGGAGGAATTATTGGGTACAATTTGGGCCATGTCACGTGATAAGGGAAACACTAATAGAATACGATAGTGTATGTATCTTTAGTGTGCCTTCCTAACCAATGTTGATAACTGCCAAAGATTAGTATTATAATACAAACCTACTTTTCTTAATAAGAACAGAAAAAAAAAAAAAAAAAAAATCATTTTTTAATATTCCAAATCTTTCTAGGCATTTTTTTTCTTGACAGAACAACTCCAAATCTTTCAATTCAAGAAAAATGGATATCCCCCATCTCATATCTGCTAATGGCTCACCATTTTTTGTTGCTCTTGTTTGATTTTTGCTCAGCAGCCTTACGAGGGACAGACCTTCACGGATTGTTACAACCCAAAAACCTACTCAAAATCTGTTCTTGGCTACACCTGCAATGGAGCAAGCAAGAGTTGCGAAACATTCCTCACCTTCAGATCCCGGGCACCTTACAACATGGTCTCTGCCATCTCCAATATGCTGACTTCTGACGTGTCTCAGCTGGCAGAGATAAATTCGGTTTCTGAGAAGCAACGTTCGAAACCAACAAGTTGGTGATTGTTCCGATTACTTGCTCCTGCTCAGGTGAGTACTATCAGCTAAACACGTCTCATGTTGTTGTGAAGGTCGATACGTTTTTAATCATTGCGAATAACACATTGCCAGGCCTTTCAACATGTCAAGCTATGCTGAACCAGAATAGTAATCTAACTGCAGAAAACTTGTACATTGGTGATAGACTCATTGTTACTCTTAGATGTGCTTGTCCCACAAAGAACCAAACTGATCTACGTTTCAAGTATCGTTTGACTTACTTAATCGCTCAAGGCGATTATGTTTCATTGATCAGCACGAGATTTGGCTCGGATACAGGGAGAACTCTTGAAACTAATGGGCTTTTGGAGCAAGACTCCACCATTTTCCCTTCACCACACTTTTATTTCCTTTGAAAAACCCTCCAAACAGTTCTCAAACCGTAGAGCCTCCCACATCATCACCATCACCTCCAGCAATACCTCCACCTCCCTCCAATAACTCAAACAAAACATGGGTTTACGCCCTTGGCGGAGGCGGACTTGTATTGGTCATAGGTGACATTATCTTCTGCACATTCTTCCGTGGAAGTACTAAGAAGGGTTTTGATCCAATTATTGCCTCAGAGAGCTTTGAGCCGCTTGAGAAACCACAAGAGAAAAAGGTGGAGGAAGAGGTCTCGGGACTTTTTAGAGGTTTATCTGGCATAGCTCAATCCCTCCAAGTTTACAAATTTGAGGATCTGCAACGTGCAACAGGTGGTTTTAGTACTGCTTATATGGTTAAGGGTCTGTTTATCGCGCCAAAATTAATGAGGATTTGGCAGCCATTAAGAAGATGAATGGAGATGTGTCCAAAGAGATAAATTTACTACAAAAGGTCAGCCATTCTACTCTCATTCGCCTCTTTGGCGTTTTCTTTAATGTTGGACATTCATATCTTATCTATGAATATGCTGTCAATGGACCATTAAGTGATTGGATCTACTACAGCAGCAATCATGGGAAGTTCCTGAATTGGACAGATTCTGCTGGATGTGGCCTCAGGGCTTCACTATCTCCACAGCTTCGCCACTCCTCCCCCATGTCCACAAGGATGTAAAGAGCAGTAACATTCTTCTCAACAGCGATTTCAGGGCCAAGATCGCAGACTTCAGTCTAGCAAGGTCAACAGAAGCACTGGAAGGTGAGTTTTCTTTGACAAATCACATTGTCGGAACATAGGCTACATAGCTCCTGAGTACTTGGAAAATGGCTTGATATCCACAAAGCTTGATGTCTACGCATTTGGCGCTCTCAGGCTGGAAGTACTCACTGGAAAAGAGGTCGCTATGTTTTACGAAAAGAATATTTGCTTGTCTGATGTAGTATACTCTCTGCTTAACAACGAAGATGGAGGGCAGAGTTTGAAGGAGTTCATGGATCCTTCTATGCAAAAGAGTTATCCTCCAGAACTTGCTCTTGCAAAAGAGTTATCCTTCTATGCATTCGGTTTTTTTTTTGAAAGGATAAAACTGTTCATGTGAACAGTTACAACCGTTCTTGAAGATAAATGTGAACGGCTTTAATTGCTTCATTACGCCATTATATATATGGCTGTAAGATCAGAAACCGAATAACAATTCCATTGCTTCTTTTTCCATACTTCACAGAGAAATACCACAACCAATTCACCAAGAATCCAAGTTTAAGTGCAAGAACTTGTATCCTGCAAGATAGACGTCCATTGTACTACTGCATTGGTGTAGGGGCGAATTTTTGTCTTAGGAGATTGCTACTGCAAGCCTCTATCTTCCTAACCAAGTCAGTGTTTTGTGATTTATTATTCAGTTTTATTAATTATTTATATTGTGAGATATATTGTATCCTTGTGAATTTTCTATTTGAAATAAACTGTGCAATTGTTGTATATTATATACTTGACATTTGATTGGTTCTAACTAGTTTATTCGCTGTTGAAACCGATGAGCGACTAACACCGAAGACATCAGCTATGGATCCAAGATCCTTGTAGCTTGGGGGCTGGGAAATGTATGTGACATATGTTTGACATGAGGTATGGGAGTCTGCAGAGCATGAAAGTCAGGGCCTGTGGTGGGTAGCAATGCAAATGCAAAGTTTCATGCTCGAAAACGATACGAAAATTAGGAGAAAGATGAAAGATGACCGCCATTGGTGTTGTTGCAACTTCAACAGCTAGAGTTGCAAGAAAAACAAATGAATTTGTGCTTGATTTTGATGAATGAAGAATTACAAGGAATACAGGCCTTTTATAGACCTGAGTTTTTGACAATTTTTCAGTTGCTGACATGGCAGTTCCTCGGCTATGAATTTGTACTTGAATATCTCATTGCATCTTGAAATTGATAATAAATTCGAGAAAAATATTAGAAACTTGATTAGGATTAAATCATGTTTAAAATAAGAAGTTAGATATACTACTTGTCGTTATCCGGTCTGGCTAATGAATATTTAACACTAGTCAAACAGAGGATTAGTCATTAATTTAAGTTTAATACATGAGCCCATGATTGAAAACGGCAAAATAGTTTCAATCTTGCCAATTCTTAATGGCTGCCTTCATTAACCCCACAAATTGTGCATGAGATTTCTATTTTTTTTTTTTTATAAGACAAACAATATATATAATATTATAAACTACTCTAACGCATTAAATAAGCAGTCTAAAATGGATGCAAAAAACGTATGTACTATTTTGACAAACTGACTTAACTTGCATATTCCAACACTTAGCCTACCATTCCAATAAGAATACTGAACTTTAATCTCTTTTTCCAAATGTCCGCTCTTTTTTATCTCCTTCGTTGACCAGTAGGTCGACTTTGCTTCTTGGGAATCGTGACATGTTGGGACTCGTAGTAGTAAGGATGCTCTCTTGCAACCAAATTTGCCGAGTGTCAAGTTCTTATTAGTTAGACAAAGAAGTCACATTTTGAACACATCATTTCGTGTAATCATTTTATTACGTAATAATTGTTTATTGGACGAGTAGTGCACTTTTGAATACACGTCAGGTGTATTTTGAACAGTGACGGGGCTGAAATTGAGTTTTAGGCCCTGTTTGGCAGATCGGATAAAGGATCGGATATGATTAGTTATACGGACCCGGGTGTTTGGCGTTCACTTGTACTAAATAAGCACCGGATTAATTTAACCGGTCGGATAGGATAATACGGTATACACCCGCTTAATAAAACCAACCAAAACGTCCGGATTATTTAGTCGGGGAAGAAGAATATGGGAGAGAAAGGGAGGGAGTTTGGGGGGTGTGGCGGAGAGAGCTGGGGAACAATTATTTGGGATTCTTCTATCGTCGGGGAAGAAGAAGGGAGAGAGAGGGAGGGTGTTTGGGGGGTGCGGAGAGACCTGGGAACAAAAAAATGATTTCATTTTTAAAATTTTTTTTTTTTAAAAGTTTGATGCCTCCTATCTAGTATAATATCAAGCACAGTATAAATAATACGGTCACTAGTCCGATACTGCACCAAACACCTGACTAATTTAGTCAGTACTATCCGGTGGCTATTTATCCTATCCGACAGAAATAGTCAGTACAGTCCGAGCTGCCAAACGAGGCCTTAAGGGTTAACTTTCCCTGCAGCGAGTCATCTTAAGTTTTAAGGGTTGGAAGCTGACATGAGTTTTAAGGGTTAATCAACAGCTAAGTTCTTTTTATAGGTAAAAGTAAACTACATGATATTTTTGTTTTAATACTAAATTGATTAATATATACTCGTGATCAGAAATTCACCGGAATTTGTTTTCTCCATTTGGAGTGGTCATTGTTCCGGATGATTCGGTGTGAAGGTGACATAGGTGCTGAAATAAAAAAATTTCATTGATCTGGTGTGATTCGATATTAAGCTTGTGCTCGAATTGGATGGTGCTGATTGAGCTAAAATTCTGGCAGTGAAGAAGAAGAGTAGCAGAAGAATACAGAGGTTTGTAGCAAAGGAAGGAGATCGCCATTGTTACGACCTGCTAAAATTCTGCAGGCTTCTCAATTAGTTATGGCAACATTTGCTTACGCGATCGTACTAGAAATCAAGCGACTCCCGACCCAATCATAGGTTCATGACCACATATTTCACACTAAACGGCTGCTAGAGAGATAAACATAACAAACTCAAAGGACGCCCGCCCAGAGTAGTTTTTTTTTTTTTTTTGTTGCAAAACGATAGATTATGTTAGATTAGCCACCGAGATTTGAACTCACGCCGTCGTGCAGGGCTCAACACCTTTCCACCATTGTGTAAAGGGACAATTGTGCCCGCACACAGTAGTTGAATGACAATAGCTATACTAAAGTTTTCAGTAGAAACAAATAATCAGACAATTTAAAGGAAAACATGTCTACAAAGCAAATGATTAATTAAGGACATGGGATTTGTCTAATTTCCATCCACTGTGAAGGGAAAAATAAATACCAGTACATAACAACACAAGCGCACACATTTAAGACAGTATCTGTAGTTGTAGATACAGTCCTTAACTTCACGATTGTACGATGCAAGTATTCCGCTACATAGTAAACCAGTTAGTACAAAAACTCTACCCGCCAGCTGATAAGAAACCAGTTTGAGTAAATAGAAAAAACTTTTGTAAGATCAAGCAGAGCTTACCGTCCATAAGTGGCCGCGCAATGTGAGCGGAAGGGCGTCACTTACTTCCTCATAACTCTCTTCCACCGCGGCAGCCTCTCTCCGCTTTCCTTCCTTCCAAAGACTCTTTACAAGCAGCTCTTTTGTGGCGGCGTCAGGCACCAACTTTAAATTCCGTAGGTCTTCAAAAACCCGCCATGCAAGAGCAGCTCTCCCACACTTGCAATATGCTTGGATCAGGACTTTAAACATATAAGCATCTGGCTGAACTCCACTCTGCCTAACCATTGCAAAGAGTTTCTGCACAGTTTTGATGTCCGCATTTAGTGCAAAATGATGCATCAACCCTGAAAACGTCTGGATATCGGGAACAATCCCAGACATAATCATCTCTTCAAGCACATCCAATGCATCAGAATCCCTCCCGCACTTGGTCAATGTTCGTAAAAGAGAGGAATACAGAAGCATCAAATTAAAGTTCGATATAGGGCCACAGAGTTTCTATCATCGTGAAAGACCTTCAGAGCAGCGTCAGCTTCCTTTGAGATACCATAAAAATCAATGATCAACCTGATAGTGCAGAAGGGCAATCTCATTTGCTCAATCCTTATTTTGTTTAATAGTTGGTCAACCAATTCAGAAAGCCCGTGGCGTGCTAAAAGGGTCATCATCCTTTGTACTGTGTAAATATCATGAGTAAAACCCGGCTGACAAGCGACCCAACAGAAAAAACTCCAAGCTGTTTCTGCTGATTTAAAATTCCTAAGAATCTTGCATACTAAACGAGTAGTCCACACAAATTTTGCCTCCTCCAATGCTGATACCTCATCAGAGTTCCATTTTTGCAAGGCATTTGCTAATAATCTTGGGTCTAACCATGGCTTTAACTGAACCCCATTAACATCACCAACTCCACCAACATCATCACCAGCATCCTCACCACTATCCTCATCGTCATCGTCATCACCATCACTGCTATCAACACAATACTTTATGCTCTTGATTCCCTCATTCGGCAACATTTCTCTTAGAAATTCATCAGTCTCATGAACAAACCCCGCCTCTTGAATCCGTTGCAAAGACAAACGCATAGCTCGCCCGGGCAATATCCCATCAACCCGCATTTCTTTAAGTAAATTCTTAACCTCGTCAAACTGTTCAACACCAACACATGCATCTACCAAAACTGAAAACTGGTTCAAAGTTCGCTTCACCCTCATCAAGGGCAGCACATTAAACACCTCCATTGCAGATTTCCACTTCCCAGAACTCACAAGGTGCTCAATCATCACCGTATAAGTCCGACTATTCGGGATTGCCCCTTCTTCAATCATCATACTAAAAACCCTCACCGCCTCTGAATCTTTTCCCATTTGCGCAAAAATGCGCATCACAATGTTATAAGACTCCACGCACACACGTTTCTCCGAGCTGACTCTATACTCATCCCATGTTTTAACAACTGCCTCGACATCTCCAACCGCAGCCTGCCACTGCATAACATTCATGAAGCTGATGCGAACATTTCGAAACTTCCCAGCATGAACTGCTTCAATGAGGGAATTAAGCTCCGCAGCTCGGCGAGACTTGGCAAGCACTGTGGCCAAGGCATGAACCGTGTTCTGGGTATGATCGAAACGAGGGTTTGATTCGAGAAACTCAACGAGGGAGAGGGCGGAATCGGCGGAGGGCGCGGAGCGGAGGGCTTGAGTGACAACAAAGGAGTCAAGAAGCCGGTCGTTTGCGAGCGGAGCGAGAGAGTTTGGGGCGTTGGACCGGAGCCGGAGACGAATGGAATCGATGAGTTTGGCGCGGTGGAGGTAGTGGGAGACCTTGTTGGGAAATGGATCGTGAGCATAGTGGCAGGTTTGTTGCTGGGTGAGGATGTTGATCAGGTTTGTCCTGCGAAATAGTTGCTTGAACTGCATGTCAAAGCGTCGAACAGTTGGTGTGCACGAAGTTATAAGCCATCGGCCAAGGGTTTGGCGGGTGCAAGCGTTGGAGGTTTTGGTCTATTTGGTTTAAGTGCGCGGCGGGAGAACGATTTATTGGAAGCGTTTTCATTGATTTCGTCCTAAACCATGTCATGACTTTTATTTTAGAATAGGACTTCAATGTTAAGAGTGTTTAAAGCCGTTAGATTTGATATTCATAACCGTTAAATCTTCTATTTTTCGATCTCACTCGTTCACTTTCTATATCATTCAGTATTACGTACTATTTTACAGAAGAGATTTTTTTTTTTTTTTTAAATTACGAAGACATTAAAAGTAATAGTTTAGAGCGTTCTGACATGAAAATACTTGGCTTGGCCTTCACGTAAGAAATCATCAAATGCCCATAAATCATAGTTTGATAATGAGATACATTTGTGTGCATATTAGACTGTTATAAAGGTAATGAGCATCAAAGAAGCCAAATCATTCATTATTATATTCAAGCCAAGAAGTTTTTCAAAAATTAGTCTATCGAACATTGTATAGAGCCCTATTTTAATTTTTTTTTTTTTGGTTTTTTTTTTAACAATAGATAGAGGCGATAAGAAATTCAAACTCAAAACATTAAATACATTAGTGAAGATGGTCACACTTGGTATCTGTGGATAAAAAAAACATCACAGGCACAAAATATCAAAATGTAAACATTTTTGGCCTCTGAAAGCAATCCCTTCAAAATTGTCATCCCTCTTTTTGTTACAAATTGTGCCAAACAGATTGAGTGTAAAAATGTGGTGGTATAATTTATACATATGTTTCATATGTCTCCCAAACTGTTTGGAGATGACAGCAATTCACACAGAAATGAGCATTCTCTTTGCTGATCTCTATATCAGTATATCTTATGATGTATATCCTATAAAATCAATATGGGCAAGGCCTAGGTATGGATTTATGCAGTAACAACTCTTTATATCAACCCTACAAGTCACTCGGGAAAATTTCCGATCAATCGAATATGGTCGAGGGTCCTCCTCAGACCAAACTTGAGCACAGCTTGGTTACCTATCCTGAACCCTTCTCCGTAAGCTGTTGATGAATCCGACTCAATTTGGTGTTTGAAAAATTCACCGAGTTTTTTCTCAAAGTCAGAGCGTTTACCCTTCTTAGATGATGCCGAACTAGAAGAGGACGGGGAGGAGGAAGAAGAGGATGATGATGAGGCAACATCACTACCTGGTGTAGAATACGTCTCGGCGTCCAGCCACATATGTGCTAGCACTTGGCAGATACCTTCTTCGACCTCTGGGCTCAGGTTTGGATAGCCTGCACAACAACCTATTAGTAAATGCAAGCAACCAAAAGGAAATGTTACAAATGTCATAAACGGAATATTGAGTGCAGGTCCTGCGGGACAGGCACACACCGTTAAGCCTTAGCCATGCGTGCATCATCTCATGAGCCAGAATTGACCCTGTCAACAACCTGTGTTTATAGAAGTTTTAGGTCATAGACAATTAGCACATGACTAATGACATGGATAAAGAGGGAACAAGAGAAATATTACCTAGGAAGGCCATACAACACGAGAATTGCTGTTACTTCACAGCGACGAATCAACCTATGAGGCTCAGTTACCATGTCTATCATCCGGTAGCCATCTCCAATCTTTGGCCTCCTCAGAATCTGCAACATAGTAAAATATAAACATAGAACTCTTGTCCAGTGAACTGATAGCTTAGAAAATATAAATGCTACTTTTACAGCTAAAATTTGAAGGAACAAATTCCTACAGTAGTAACGGTCTGTTCTTCTGACAAGCAGAGTCCTCTAGTCTCCGGCATGTGATGATGACCCTGCCCACATTAAAGTCCAAATAAACATCAGATTGAAGAAATGCAATGGCACGTTATTTTACCAAGCTTTTAAGGCGTCAGTATTACATTCTTTTCTCCCTCCATGGCCTCATTTAGAGCTTGTCTCTCAACCAAGAGCATGGGAACTTGCTGCTTCACTTTCATGTTTAAACCTTCATAAAAATCTTGTATTTCAAGGTAAAGGGGTTGACACTCGTGAGTGTCCATAATTGCTGAGTCTAGACACTCCAGACACAGCTTCCGACCATCGTCAAGTAACAAATATCTTGTGTCTCGGGGCTGCAAGGTTAGAAGGCATATCATTACTAAAAATAATGTCTTATATCCTTTTCAGTTCCTTCAGGATTTATTGTTTTGTTGCAAAGAGGACGGGTTGTGTTTTCATGAACTCACCTCCATTCTTTCACAGCTACAACACCGAGGGGTCCTATCACGCTCATGAGCAGGACAGTATTTTTGTAGCCAGAAAGGATGTGCTCTATACTCAATAAGCCCAGCTGAATTTGTTGGGATCTATAAAGAAAGAACCGAAAAAGAAAAAACAGAAAATTATAAGGAGAAATAAATTTAAAAGGGCATGCTTCACTCTTTATAAGAAAATGCAAATGCAATATCATTAAAGAACTAAATAGAAGATAAACTTACGAAACTCTTGCAAACATCGCATTTTGGGTGATGCTGCTCCTTATAGCAGGATTTGTGGTAAGGGTGATTCCCAGACATAGAATACTGTCATGGATGGGGAGATCCAAAATTAAATTATATATAGCTATATACAATCATGTTTCCAATTTTAAAAATAACTTGGCTGGGAATTCAAGTATTTTGTCAGCCAATTCCAAAGAAAATTCTTACTGAACAAGAACCAGATTCTGACCTCATAATCAGTAATTGGAAGATTGCAAGCACGGCAACGGAAGCATTCTGGATGCCAAACAGCACCCATGCAACTCAAATATCGTCCATGGCCAATTCCCGACTTGCAGCCAGCACATGTCCTACAAACAACAATTTTAACAACCTTCTCAGGTTACATATGCACCTTTGGAATACAGCTATAAAATTACATGAAATGCAAGACTCAATTCTCAAGTGGCCTAGTTTTATGAAACTACCCTACGTGAATTCATAAAGATTGTAACGATCTTGCACCTCTGATTCATAATAATTACAGTAAAACAACTCCAGAAAAATTACTACACTACTCTCTAGTTACGGAAGAGACACGTGTATAGCAAAGGATAAATTTATATCAACCTATTTTTCTCATGCTCAAACAAGTTACACATTTATAATCTTTTGTATCAATTCTTACTACATAGGTTGAAAACTCATCAGGTGGCTTAATATAACTAAGCATGTGAGCTATAAAGCTAGTCTAAGCTTCCATATGGGCAACTTAAACGTCATTCCTTTCCCTTTACATCCATATTGTTTCACAATTTTTTAAATGTTTACTATCGAACAAAGTTACATCTGTATTGTTTCACAATTTTTTTTGAATGTTTACTATCGAACAAAATCTAATCATTTTCAAAGTTATTGTGAACCTGTAGATAACAGAAATTGGCATATGACACTACTTGGTTGACTAGACTAGATTCAAGAGATAGCATAGTGTCCGTATTCACCTGTACCCAGCTGGCGTGAAGAATGAAAAAGGTTGAAATATATTGCCATTATCATGTCGAGGAGGAGATCCCATGATCAAACTTTCTTGAATAGCCTTTGCAAGTTGTTCATCTTCCTCCAATTGAACTTTAGCACTTTGTTCATCTTCCTCGTAGTGAAATTTTGCGGGTTTTTCAGTCATCGTCGGACTGAACTTTGGCCGATTGAGCATCATAATCTGATTCAACTTTGGCAGATCGTTCATCATCGTTTGATTCCACTTCAGATGATTGTTCATCATCGTCTGATTCTACTTTAGTCGGTTGTTCTTCATCCTCTGATTGAGATTCATCTTCTGAAAAATAAGTAGGGTAATGGATTATAAGTAACTTATCACTCAAACAGAAGATAACAACCAAATTTTATGATTATGCCCTTTAGTGGAGTAATGCAGAAGTCACGCTTTATGCTTGATAGAAAATGTCACAATTCAATTCATTACGGATTTCAAGAAGCATTTGCACACCTAAAGCATATTGCTCGATCGCACATATCTAGCACTAGTAGTTACTAATCCTTGTATGAAAAGTGGGGGAATTCCAAGTTATTCAGTTAGTCTATTGTATCCCAGTGAGGAAACTCTTGTGCTTATGCAGCATATGCAAGTTATCAATTGGTTTTTGCAAGTTTGTCAAACTTACCGATTACATTTTTTCCTTTTTGATCTAGTTCTGAAAGGGACAGTGCAATAGCAACATCTATGTCTTCTTCCTGGATTACAAGTTGCCAACAACATACAGTTAGCATTATACAATAACACAAAAATACAAGCATGATCAGTATGCAGGAAACTTCAGACTTAGGTTATCATGGTTATTTCTGTCAATTAACTTTGTGACGGGTAGATATCGGTCTACCTACTATGGGCATAAAACTAACCACCTCAACATTAAATGTGCAGGAACAGTGAATAATTGGGTTTATAGAAGTCAAAAGAGTAATTACCACAGAATCACGAGGCTCGTCCCATGTTCTATCCTCTCTAAATTTCTTCTTATGAGAATGACCCTTATGGCCAGAACCTTTAAGAATCTTAGTTAGCCAACCCATAACTAGAAATATTATCTGCCACTAGGATGGCAAACTGTTCCTGCACCAGGAGTCTATTATTTAGGGAAGAGAAAGCACAACATTAAATAGACAGCAGAAACAAAAACAAAAGGCAAAAATAAGAGATATTTAGTGGCATGAATGTTAAATTGTGCTAGCCATTAAACATCGAAAGAAAACATTAATGGATGTCATGACTGACTAGCCGATACAGACTGAGAATAAAAAATAAAGATAAAGCGAAGAAATAGGGTGGACTAAAATTGGTTCTCTCTCGTGAAGTTATCACAATGACATTTGCAAAGCAAGAAACAGCAAGAGTGGGATCGGAGAATATCTATGAACAGCATACACACAATAAGCCTTAATCTGGGAACAATTTCCAGATTTAGGGTGGTAGCACT